CGCATGCGTGGTCGGTTTTGGTAGCTGGCCTGCTTTGGTAGCTAACATTACGCCAATGGCAAATTATTGTAATTGTTTCATTCACTTAATAAGATTGATTTATAAAAGGGTAATTAGGTGTGCTATTAAAATTTCCATAATAATTGGCGGATGAGAAAGTGAATTGTTTCTATAAATAAATTAACAAAACTTTTATTAATCTACTTTATTTTCATAGGTGTTTTTATAAAATTGGTTTATGTAAAAGTTCACTCAACCAAAAAGTTTATAAATGTTTTTACGAAAATTACTAGAATTCAATCAATTTTATATTTGCTTATTATCACAGTTGAGTAATGTGGTTAAAAAATTATAAAACAATAGTTATAGAATAATAAATTTTATTAAATAAAACTACCTATAGGTAGTTTTATTTAATAAAATTTATAATATATATTATAAATTTGTCCATGAACTTATGTTTTGAATTTTAATATATATATATATATTAAAATTCAAAACATAAGTTCATGGACAAATTTTTATAGGTATTTAGCTATTTTTCAGGTGGTCCAAAATTCAGAAGGAATTAAAATTTTTTTGTATGTTTTCTGTATAGGTATTTCGTTTTTTGCCTACCAAATAATTTAAACGCCCAATATAATAAATTAGGGAATGAGTAAAATATTAAACGCTTTTAAATTTTAACAATTCCGCACAGTAATTCAAAATTACAAAATAGTGGTAGGAAAAATGGTAGGAAAAATTCGCTCAGTAGTATAAATTTAAAAATTGGTGGGAGAAATTTGCACAGTGGCATACATTTTAAACAATGGAGTTGACACAGTGGGATAAATTTAATAAAAAATTGTGGGAAAAAATCGTACAATGGCATGAGTTTAAAAAATAGTAATGGGTAAATCTCACGAAATGTCCCCCGATGGTGTTACCCCGTGATATTTAATAAAATGATAAAACTAAATGAGTCTGACCTACACTTTTATTGTGTTTTGATCTTTCATAATTAAGTAGATATTACAGCGCAGGTTCCAGATTTTTAACCGCAATTAATTATTTTTTACAATGTTTTAAAATTCTAAAACCTATCCTCCGTGACTGTTACTCTTTCTAGGTTAACCTGTATGTTTTCAAATATCTGAGTTAGTAAAAGCATACTAAAAATATCAGTTTACTAAGTAAATTAAACACTTCCAACGCAATTGAATCAAATATAAAATATTATTAAAAATTAAAAGAAATAATTTTTATAACCATTTATGTAGGTGTAACAAAAATTGATTCTATTCTCCGTGAATCTGTTTTTGCTTTAAATTTTATGCAACGGATGGCGCTTTAATGATTTTAAAAAAGCAAAAACCTCTGTTTACGACATTATAGATGCATGTGATTCCTGAAGGTCAGTTAGAATTTATATGCAGATGAGAGTGTTGCTGTTTTGTAATTCAATAATTTGCCATTTAAAAACCTATCCACCGTGAAGTGTAATATCTCTGTAAGTAGATTTTTTTATAAATATTTTATGTAGGTATGTACAATTGTATTTTTTAAAAATTTTAAGGTGTCAAAAGATAACAATAACTTATTTCAAATATACAAGGAGATGTTTTAAATAAACATACGAAATCCGTGAAGCTATCTTCAGTGAAGCTTTAATATTTAAAATGTTTGATTTCTTAAAATTCTTGCATTAGTGCAGAACCACTTATGTTATGTTATTACTAGACCTGGTGGCTTCCCAAAAACTCCATTCTAGACCAACAGTGAAACAACCAAAACTAAAAAATAATCATTTTCACTTGGGGGACATCTCAATATAATCACCCAATAATATTTAATAGTTGGCATCGAGTCAAACCACGTCAAATGCGTCAATTAATTTTTATTGCTTTTTTGAAAAGTAACTAGGTATAATAATTATTGAAAAAATCTGTAGATAACTAAAAACCAAATTTTTGACGTCAAATTCCGAATAAAAATACAATGTATTCAAACTTAAAAATTTACTTTTAAGTTTCAAAGTCATTGATTATGCGCATAAATAAAAACCACGCTCACAAAACCTTTTACCACAAGTCTGCTGAATTCTTTAAATATGCATCGCGATAACTATTTTGTTATCATAGTTTCGTAGTGCACTATGTTTATTATTAATAAAATCAGTAAGTGCAATTGTCGTAGTACTGGTTAATTTAGTGCCTTGCTGGCGGCTGCAACTCTACTTAAATCCCACCACACCACACACGAATTAGTTATTAAATAATTGCCACAGCTCGCTGTCTCGTTCTAATTATAGTTTTTTCAATGTTTATAGGTTACTTTGTACTATTTAGGGATTTTATTGTCAGTGTTAAGGTTGTGTTGTAATTAAAAAAAAGGCTTTTCACAGTAGGTTTGACTACCTACTGCGTTTTTAAATTTAAGGTTTCATTAAGTTTGGCAAGATTTTTCTGGGTAAGCAGTTTAATTAGTAGCAGTATAATTTTCGTAATATTAAATTGTCAAAGGTCAAAATTATGTATATGGATTATTTAATGATGTTATTTTTATTAACATTAATGCAAATATGGATCATATTATATCCAATGTTTTTATTTTAGGACTTTATTTATACAGGGTGTTTAGAAAATGGCCCACTAACGTTATAACACGCAAAAGTATAAATTTAAGTATTTAGTTTTAAAAAACTCGGCAACGTTGTATGTCCCAAACCGATTTATCAAACATCTAAAAACGGTTGCTATGAAAACAAAATTAACAAGGCGTGCTTCACACTAACATTGTCAACATTTGAATATAAATAATTGAGGTTGGGTTGGTATTACAATTTATACAGGGTTTTACATTCGTGGTCCATTAAAAGTTTCTGGGGGCGGAAAAAGATACCGATTTGAAGTTTTAAAAGCGTTTATAATCCATTTGAGTCCATTTTTCTAAAATATTTTGAACAAAATGCCATTTCCGGTTTAACCGGAAGTTACATCAACTTTGTTATTTCAAATATAACACCCTTCAGAATTTTATACAGAATTTAAACATGTAAAAATATATAGAGTGTTATATTTAAAATAACACAGTTGTTGCCGGTTTAACCAAAAGTGGAATTTTGTTTCAAAGAAAAAAAAATTTTATTTTATTTTTAATGTTAAATGTTACTTAATTTTTAAATAGGTGTATAAAAATCGTAAAAACATGTTAGTTTTGTTACAAGGAAAGAAACAAAAATCCCCATAAATTTAATGTTTTCTAAAATGTTAATACGCTATATTAGAAAAAAAACATTTATTTTAAACAAACAATCCGTTTTTTATGTATGTTAAAAAAAAAAACGGGTATTAAATTAAAACAACAGAATTTTACGTTTTTTAGTTCTTTTAAGTTTAAATTTGTAACATCTTTAAAAAGTTGCTTTATAACCTTTTACATAAATAAATATTCTCAAAGTATTAATGGTTATGTGTAAAATAACAACAATTTTCTAATCAAAGTCTTTGAAAGATAAAAAATTTACAAAAACTTTTATTATTATTATTATTTTTTTTATTTTCTATAATTTTTTTCATTTTAATGGAGTCGCCAATACTTTGGTAAAAAAATCTGAATGAACGTTACTTAAAAATATTTATCTACTCCTACATTGACGAGCTGTGACTTTATGGCGTTTTATTGACGGGCTGAAGTTAACAACAGTGGCTTTTCGACATTTTACGCCAGGGGCTGAAGTTAGCTTTATTATAAATTGGGAAAAAGTGAGGTTAAATTCGGGTGACAGTTGACAGATGTCAAAATTTTAACAAATAAAATTGGCTTTAAATTCTGTTTTGTGTTCGTCGTAGATAAAGTATAGTATGCAACTCGTTTATAAACTTCTCTAGACACTCGTTTTTATTAAACACTCGCTCGCAAGCTTCGCTCGTGCTTAATTAAACTCGTAACTAAAATGGTGTTTATAAAACTTGATACATAATATACTATTTTCTACTCCCATCTTTAAAAATCCCATCATCGTACATGACACTAAGTGACCTTTTAAATACACATTGAAAAGTTGTGGCTTTATGGGTTTATAGTCACGGGCTGAAGTTAGCAACAGGTTTTTAGTCACGGGCTGAAGTTAGCAACAGGTTTTTAGTCACGGGCTGAAGTTAGTTGACAGTTGTCAAATGTCATACAATCGTTAAAATAAAGTGCCTTTCTTGTAAAATAATACTAAATGTGAAAATTATTTTATTATCTTAATACAAAAATACAAAAGTATTAAATAGTTTCCTGACGCCAATATTTGAGAAGAATATGAACGTTTGTACTGACCTTTTGATTTTGCCGTAGTAGTGCAGTTAACTAGATTTAACTGATAAAGCGCTAAAAATTGTGCCCATAAAACATTATCTTCTCTTTTACTGTGAAAAACTGCTTCTATATCGATTGTTAGTCTATTTTCAAGGGATAAAATTTGATATTTTAACGGGAATTGAAATAAATACAACTATCACTTTTTGTACCTTTAACATTTCCCGTATAGGAATTTTTAATACTTTGTGTTACTATTAGAATATTGTGTTTTAATATTTTAAAGTGTCAATAATTGTTTAATTAAAATAATAACGGGCAATGTTCATGGTGAAAATTAGGTGAAAAATGATTTTAGATCTCGTATAGATGTCGCTTTATACAAATATTTAATTTAAATAATTTTTTAGATAATATTAAGTATTTTTCGTAGAAAAAATATAGTATGCAACTCTTTTATAAACTTTTCTAGACACTCATTTAATAAAGTAAATTGGCGTTTATCAAACTTGATACATAATACAAGGAATTTTCTTCTGCATATTTGCAAAATTTTTACAAAATTGTAAGGGCAAAGTTGGTAACAGAGTTGATATAATTTTTGATTATTCATATTTTTTTTTACTGCCAAATAATTTTGAACTTTTGTTTTATATTTTCAATACTACATATATAAACAACTTTTTCTGACATTCCTATTTGTTCTTGTTTAGAAGAGGCGACCATAGCCGGGGACCATGCGGCTCCAGACCTGTCGCATCTCACGCAGGAGGAGAAGGAGGAGCAGGAGCGCGTTTGGAAGGAGGAGCTCGTGCAGATCGAGGACGAGATAGCCACTCTGAGAACGGTTTTGGCGTCGAAAATGCGACGAAGCGCAGAGCTGAAGCGCAACCTGGGCATCACGTTCTTGAAGGAGGTGTCGGAAGACATCAACCAGGGAATCAAGAACGTCAAAGAGAGTAACGTGTAAGTATGATATAACACTCTCCATGGAAAGTTTGTTACGATAGATTTTTATGAATATAATTCAATGAACATATCATCACGGTGTGCCTGAACGAGAATACTGTTTATACTGTGCACATCATTTAATATATACAGGGTTAGCCAAAAATTTTAATAAAGCAAAAGCGTAAATTCATGATTTTGGCATAACACGCAAAAAAGATATATATACCCACCCATGTTTTTTTAGATATTTTTATGTTTATCAGGCTACTAAATGGGATTCTTATCAAGACTTTATAAGAAAAATTGATTTTGAATAAAATTAAATAAAATAAATTGTTTTGGAGATAAATCTGTTTTGTGCATTATGCTTTTTACTATATAAAAACGTGATTTTTGGCTAATAGACCAGGGTCGATAATTTTTGAAACCAAAAAAAATAACAGTAGGATGAAACCCATTGGAAAAGGAGAAGAATATAATAAAAATGAAAGGAAAAATAAATTACGGGCGATCTGAGTTCGGGAAGTGGGAGGGGGGGGGTTTTAAGGGTAAAAAATGGTTTATCTCGATTTCCGGCAAAACTACAAGTCCTATGGAAAAAAGTTAAATGGCAAAGTTGTAGGTAATAAAAGGATCTACAACTTTTGTATTTACAATTTTTTCACATAACCTCAAAATTTATGTGAAAAATTCAAAAAACCAAGTTTTTGGTTTTTTATTTTTATCTTTTTCAAAAAAAAATTTTTTTCCACGAAATTTGGTAAAAACTTACCTTTTTATGTCCCAAATACACTGTAATTTATTTGATTTGAAATATTTATTATTTCGCCTTATTTTGACTTAATATCAAAAAAGCACCCTAATTTTCAATCGAAAATTCTCGCGTCAAAATATCAGCTTTTTTCAAAAAGTCGGTGTGCTTTTTGTTCGTTGAAATCTCTACTTTCTGATGGTGTAAAAAAAATATACATTACTATGGTAAATGTTCTCAGAAAAGCGTTATTTTATTTAATTTTATTAAAAATCTATTTTTTTAATAAAAGGTTAATAAGAATGCCATTTTGTAACCTAATAAACGTAGAAATATCTAAAAAAAAATGGAGATACATCTGTTTTGCGTGTTATGCCAAAATCATGAATTTACGCTTTTGCTTTATTAAAAAAAAGCGATTTTTGGCTCACCCTGTATATATCAAATTATGTGAACAGTATTAAAAAGTATTCTTTAAGTCTCCTCAATAATATACTCTAATTTTATAAAAATCGGTGTACAAATGTGTACTCTGTCAAAGGTAGACTTTGAAATAAACAAAAATTTAAAAAAAAATCATAATTTTCAAAAAATTTCGAAAAGAGGATCAGCTAGGATTTTGGTAAATATCATTTTTAATTCACCAAAGGGTCCCGAACAAGAAACTGCAATCAGTTTTTGGCGTCATTTTTATGTGACTTAAACTTCGTTCAGGCACACCATGTCATGTTATCTTTTTTTTGTTAGTATGAATTCAAAAAGGATATTATCTACACGAAAAGTGTAAGACTTTATGAATTAAGATTAAGAAGGGTATGGTTTTTATCGATATCAATCTCAAATGCGGAGATTTCCCTCCAAAAGTTTTTGTTGTCATTTTTTGAAATTAAACAATACCCTTTTTTATAATTTTAGTAGTTTTTTTGCTGTAATAGTTAAAAGCTTGATCAAGAATGCCCGTAAATAGATTTTATTTGACATAGGCGTTATTATTATTTTACTATACCTGCATGATTTTTTTTTCTTTTTTATATTTTTCCATAGATACCAAAGTGTGGAAACTAAAGTTGGTCAGGTTACTAAAGCAGTCACTGATGCCCCAATGTAAGTTTTTATGTTTTTGCATGAAAAGAGGTTTGCACCTTTGATGTTTTTTCAATAACAACCAATTTAACAAATATTATAAATAATTCCCCAACACCAGAACAAAACACAAAGTTCTTAAAGTACTTTCGCCACCTTTATTGCAAAAATGACATAATCGACAATTAATAAAAACGCTAAATTAACAATTTGCATTGTTGATTTTGTCATTTTTGTAAGTAAGGTAGATTTAAACAAAATCTGGCAACTTTTTTTGACAGTATCTGGAAACGCTGGTTGTTACCAACCATAACATAATAAATTAAATTAGGCAACCAGATTAGCCTAGAGTTTCTAGTCGATCAGTGGCGTAGGTACTTTTTGGTAGGATAAAGGTTGTTATAAATTATTTTTAGTCTTTAGAATTTAGAAAAAAAAAGTCTCAGGTGCTTCTTTATGGACCCTAAGGAAGTACCCATTTTTATATATTACATTAATTACGTAATACCCTGTATGACCATCATTAAATATTTCTGGCATGGGCCAAGTGCTCTTTCCAAGTAAGGTTTAAAGAGCACTTGGCCCATGCTAGTTTTAGTAGGACAGAAAATGGTTTGTTTGTATCGTAAATCCAAAAAGTCAAAACTAGTTTTTTAACGTTTTTGCACAAAACTCGTTAAATTAACCTTTTTTGCGATATTAAAAAAATAAACGTGGTTAAAAAAAGTCTGACTTAATTCAAGAAGAGTTTTTTATAGAAAGTGAAATTTTTGTTTATTCTATTTTCAGTTATCAAAAAACAACATCAGTTATTGGGGGAATTACAGGCAGTATTACCAACAAGTTTGGCCAAATGAGACACTCTGAATCTTTCAGATCCATTGAAGAAAGAGTTGGCTCAGCATATGAAAATGTTAAGGTAATAGCATGTTTTATTTTTTACAGCGTTTTTTATGGCACGCTGTTTTAACATTTATTAAATATTTTTTTAATTTAATTTTAGGTTTACATTTATAAAATTAAAATATTTTCAACTATCATGTATTGAAAGGTAACATTTAATAACTAACAGTTTTCCAATCAAAAATTTCTAACCATCATTTATTAATAAAAAATTTGTATTAAAAATTATTTTTTAAGTATAATTTATTTGGGCAGAATTTTGTAAATCTTAAATAATTTAGATTAAATTTGTTAGTATTTAAAAATAGTGTCAAGACATTTAAAATAAAAACACATATAAAACTTTTTTTACCAAATTAGCTTAAAAACTTACATTTTTTTGAAACTCAACAAATTAATAATCAAAAAATATTTTGAATATAAAATGCAAATGTAAATTTCTGTTAAAACATCATTAAAGTGCTAAACTTTCATCTAAACTATTTATTATCTAATAAATGCTAAAACGGCTTGCCATACTTTTGATTACTTTTTGCCATTTTTTTAAGAAATACTTTAAAAATTTTGTTAGATATAAAATTTTGCAGATTTTGAAAATTTTTACTCCTTTATCGTTTTCTACTCGTCAAACAATTGGATTTATTTATTTATCTCTCCCTTTTACTTATACACCTACATTCTCGTCAAATTTAAAAAAATATATATATTTTTCAGACAAAAGTTGTGTCTCGTTCCAACTCAACTCAGAGCCTTGACGATGCCGCCCGATCCCGTTCGGGATCGGTCGTGACGAGTCCGACAATACCCGAAGAGAAACCATTGGCGTAGGATCAAAATGTTTTTTCCAAAAAATCGAAAACACATTTTGTTCAGCCAGATTTGCCTTTAATGCTTGTTAATGAACTGCAAAAACTAATTTACTCTTTACGATTAGTTCTCTTATAATTCGTACTCAATTAGCAAAAAACTTCAAAACTAAATTGATAAATATTGTTCATGGGTTTATTGCAAATAAAATAGCATAAGGTTAAGTGTTGAATGGTTAATTTAGTTTTTGTTGCTCAATCTTGAGAATATTTTAAACCAATATTATCATTATTATGCAAAATAAAAAATAAAGACTTAATTAGAAGGATTATGTACAGAGGTTTTTAGGAATTAGTTAAAAATAATCTCTTTTATAATGTTGCAAGTTAAAAATAAAACTAAGAAAATTACCATTTTTAAAAAGCCCCCAGTATAATTTTTTAATCTTTTAATATGTTGGCTTGGTTGTTTTCTGAATGCAACATTATAAAAGGGCTTTTAAATATATGCTATTTTTGCATTGGCACCAATTAAAATATTTTATCATCTATAATATTACTTTTTCTATATTAGTTTTAGTGTAAATTAATACAATATATAAAATATATGTTTAATTTATAACAGTTTTTTATTTGTTAACTCCCAAAAGTTTACCCGAAAATTCGACGAAGATAAGTGACTATTTTAAACACCCCTCGTATACCAAGAATCCCATTGGCTAATTTAAATTTGCAAGCCAATCAAATCTCATCGCTGTAGATTAAAATTTGACATACGAATACAACAAATCACGATTAAGCATAGCCTTTTTGTTGTACACCCCTCGTATTTTCCAATGTGACATCCACAATAATCATAACCCAACTTATTCACATTTATACTTTTTATGTTATAATTTTTATATATACAAAATGTTAAGGCCTTTTTTAAAAGTGTCTAATGGTTCAAAACGATTTTACAGTAAAAAATGTAAGGCCCAAACGGAAATATTAAGTGATATGTTTGGTAATACAAAATAATATGTACAAATTTTACAACACAAAAATATAAATTACAGGAATAACTAAGAATAATGCAACTTTATACGCAAAAGCAAACGGCTTGGATAAGAAAGATCCAGATATTTTAATTGAATCCATAAGAATATCCAGAATGTTAGGTTATGCCGATATGGAAATTTTTAATAATCCTAGACTTTTAAGGACGCACCCTGTAGAATTGCATCAACACAGTATGGTTTTAGAGGAGGGGGCGTTCAATAATATTACACCTCATGTGTTAAGTCGGTAAATAAGTATTTCCTGTACTGTATAAAAACATCAACTTTTGTTAATCTTGGACAACTTATAACTGTTTTTAACTGTTATTTAGAGCCAGAACGTATATGGGTAAATCAATTAAAGAATTAAAACTAGTTAAATTAATAAAAGATGTTAATGTACAAAAACATTTTATTGGTTTTATAAACCCATTGCCTAAGAAGTTTTTTGTGGAGGAAATGGATGATAATGTATCCTGGAAAACAGTACATTATGTTATATTAAGGGAGTTTTTAAGTAAGTTTTATATACTTTATCAAAAAAATATTAATAGGTAGGTAATTTTAGAACAAAAATTAAACGCCTCTGAAGATGACATTGTAAAATTATTTAGGATTCATAAAATGGTAATAAATAAAAGTTTTAGAGTGATTCAAGAAAATATAAAATTAGCAAAAGAATTAGGTTTTACAGACAAAAAAATCTTAAAATATGGCTACATCTTACATAATTATCCACAATATACAAAGACTATTTTGGATGACTTTTCTAATTTAGCAGGGGCTGATATGAGGGAATCCATGAGAAAATTTCCGAAATTATTTATGACTTCGCCGAAAAATATGATCAAAATCTATGGAGCTTTAAAAGTAAGTTTTATTCATATACCTCCATATGGTCTATTCTCCAAGGTTTGTATAGCTAGGTACCTTAGATAATACACCACATGGAGTACTCAATACTGTTATATTCTCACTGGATTTTTTTAACTCTTTTTAGGGGCATAATATTTCAGATGAAACAATACAAAAAAATATGAACATATTTCACCTGAGCCCGGAAACTGTTAAATTTCGGTTAGGGGAATTGAAAAAAGTTCCGGAATTTAAAATTTTACTGGACAACCCCAGAATACTGCAACTAGTGGTTCATCAAAATAGGGCCAAGTCCAGATTGTCGTTTTTAAAGCAACTACAATTGAGGTGTACCAACTATACATTATTAGGTAAAAAATTAGTTTATATTACTGTTAAAAATACATCTGACAACCATGTCATAGCTTTATTAAAGTAAAAAAGCAGTGTTGTTGACTTCCAAAATAGTCCAATATCTAACAGGCTAAAAAGCGCTTATATTTTCCGTCATGTTGTACCTTTTTAAAGGTTTATATACACTAAAGAAGTATAGATACAATAAATACACATTTTAGTAATGATTAATGTGAAAAGTGTGAACATTCCAATTCAGTAATAATCGTCAAACAAATAAGTCGTCTAAATTTAAACAGCATTTAGCATTATTAAAAGCGTTGATTCAGAAAGTCTCCACTCAACGGTAAAATAACATTATATTATGTATTATATGTAATATTATGTGGCCATGAATTCGTAGGTATATATTGTTGTTTAAAATGCAGTTGTCGGCGTTTTTTAGAGAACTCAAATATAAAAACGAAGTGACTAGGTGCACGTTAGAGTGCCTGCAATTTATTTTTTACGGGCACGCTAGTGACGTAATAGATAAAAAACGTCATCACTGCCGTGCCGCTTAATTTATAATTGGCGGCACGACAATAATATAATAATAAATTGTACCTGTATACATGTTTATAGGGTGTCTCTCAGATTTTATTAGTGAAAATTTTGTAATCAAATCGAAAAAATAGGAAGAAGAATGTAGGTATAAGAACTTGTAAGCTCTAAAGCTTTGTTTTCAAGATACAGGGTATTAAAGTTAATAAAAAAATCACTTTATTGTAAGTTTAATATTATATTTAGATTTTTTCAGGGCAAATAAACAAATTTTTAATGTTATCATCATCAGGGTTAACCCTGCCTAAAAGATTTGACTTATGTACTTTATAGTATTAAGTTCATACCAAAAGAACTGATCTTTAAAATATGAAAACGTTCAATTTCCTACCTAAACAAGGTGCTAAATAGGAAGTCTATATATAGTCAAATCTTGTTTAGATTGTTTAGGTTGTAGATGGAACAGGTGGTTTGGTTTTTAAAAGAACTGATCTTTAAAAAATAAAAAGTTCCAACCTGACAAAAACCACCTAAGTTCCATCTACAACCTAAACAAGATTTGACCCGACGAAAACAATCTAAAAAAAATAGAAAAGAGTGAGGGCCCTCCTCCTTTATCCGGGCTTGGGACCGGCAGGTAAAAAATACCTGGCGGAGTTACCCTCCACCCTCCTTATCATATTATGTACCTAAAATTTCCTAAAACAGATAAAGTATTTAATTAAACAAAAACACGCAAAAAACAAATATACTGGTTGTATACATACTCGCGTATAAGATTCACTCGCACCCTGAAGTTCCAAGAAGTCCAAGATGTCCATGTCAGGTCCAAATGAAGGAATTACCCAAGTAACATTTTTAGTTTTATTATGGTCTTCAAGAACGCTTTAAAACAAAATTTTGTTTTAAAGCGTTCTTGAAGATCATATTAAAACTAAAAATGTTACTTGGGTAGGGTAATAGGAAGGGTAGAAAAGGAAAACGACAGATAATTAAGTTACAAATAGATTAGCGCCGGTGCGCAACAACATGCTCCACGTTAAAAACGGGTTAGCACGGATTACCGATGTTCCGAGACAAAATCCAGAAAGTACTTTCAAGATCCATCTACCATTTTAATTTAATTAAACAATCTGATGATTGTGAAATTGAACTAAAATGGGTCTAAATGGAAGGAATAAAAAGGAGGGTTTTATAGGAAACTCCTGGGCGCCTGGTTCCATAGGATAATCACTATCTAAAACAGACTACAACGTCGAAAATAATTTAAAAAATATGTGTCCTACCCAAAAGCGAACAAATAAAGAATTAGTTTCATCTCCAACTTGAAATTTGACCTGACGAAATGAATTTAAACAAAATTTGGACCTATGATCCCTACAAAAACGAAGTAAAAGAACTGATCTTTAAAAAAAGAATAAGTTCCATATCAAACTTAAAGAATCTAACAATAATATTACTTACGACCCCTAACAAAAACGAACTAAAAGAACTGATCTTTAAATAAAGAATTAGTTCCATATTTGCCCTAACAAAAAGAATCTAAACAAAATTTTGAACTACAATCTCTACAAAAACAACTAATCTTTAAAAAAAGAATAAGTTTCATATCCAACTTAAAAAAAACTAATGACAATTTGACTTACGACCCCTAACAAAAACGAACTAAAAGAATTTAACTTTAAATAAAGAATAAGTTCCATCTCCAACTTAAACAAGATTTGCGCTGACAAAAAGAATCTAAAAAAATTTTGATTTACGACCCCTAAGAAAAAAAAAGAACTGATCTTTAAAAATGAATAAGTTCCATATTTAACTTAAGAAAATTTGACTTACGACCCCTTACAAAAACAAACTAAAAGAACTTTAAATAAAGAATTAGTTTCATCTCCAACTTAAACAAGATTTGCCCTAACAAATAGAATCTAAAAAAGTTTTGATTTACGATCCCTAACAAAAAAATAACTGATCTTTAAAAAAGAATAAGTTCCATATCCAACTTAAACGAACTAAAAGAACTTAACTTTAAATAAAGAATTAGTTCCATCTCCAACTTAAACAAGATTTGCGCTGAAAAAAGAATCTAAAAAAAATTTGATTTACGACCCCTAAGAAAAAAAATAACTGATCTTTAAAAAAGAATATGTTCCATATTTAACTTAAAAAATAACTAATGACAATTTGACCTACGACCCTGACAAAAACGAACTAAAAGAACTTAACTTTAAATAAAGAATTAGTTCCATATCCAACTTAAACAAGATTTTCGCTGACAAAAAGAATCTAAAAAAGTTTTGATTTACGACTCCTAACAAAAAAAACTAATGACAATTTGACTTACGACCCTAACAAAAACACTAAAAGAACTTATCTTTAAATAAAGAACTAGTTCAATCTCCAACTTAAACAAGATTTGCGCTGACAAAAATAATCTAAAAAAATTTTGATTTACGACCCCTAAGAAAAAAAAAGAACTGATCTTTAAAAAAAAATAAGTTCCATATCCAACTTAAAAAGACTAATGACAATTTGATTTACGACCCCTAACAAAAACAAACCAAAAGAATTTATCTTTAAATAAAGAATTAGTTCCATCTCCAACTTAAACAGGATTTGCGCTGACAAAAAGAATCTAAAAAAATTTTGATTTACGACCCCTAAGAAAAAAAAGAACTGATCTTTAAAAAATAATATGTTCCATATTTAACTTAAAAAAAAAACTAATGACAATTTGACTTGGGACCCCTAACAAAAACGAACTAAAAGAATTTATCTTTAAAAAAGAACTGATCTTTAAAAAAAAAATAAGTTCCACATCCAACTTAAAAAGACTAATGACAATTTGATTTACGACCCCTAACAAAAACAAACCAAAAGAACTTATCTTTAAATAAAGAATTAGTTCCATCTCCAACTTGAACAAGATTTGCCCTAACAAAAAGAATCCAAACAAGTTTTGACTTACGACTCCAAAAAAAAAAAGAACTGATCTTTAAAAAAGAATACCCCTATCATAAACGAAGTAAAAGAACTAATCTTTAAATAGTTCCATCTCGGCCATTCCAAGCCCATGGACAGGACACATCAAAACATGTCTAAATTATATTCTTGTTACTTCCTTAAGTTTACTTATTTTTTCTACGAGTATTTATGAGAAGTATTAGCCAAAGTTGGCTAATACTTCTCATAAATACTCGTAGAAAAAATAAGTAAACTTAAGGAAGTAACAAGAATATAATTTAGACATGTTTTGATGTGTCCTGTCCATGGGCTTGGAATGGCCGATCTCCAACTTTAAACAAGATTTGACCTAAACAAATATTAGAAATATTCCCCAAAACAAAACACAAATTGCTTAAAGTACTTTCCGCCAACGATGTTGGCATCTTCAGAAGGAAAGTGTAAATAAATCTAAATGCTAAATCTACCATATTTATACTAATTATAAGCCAAGGCTGACTGAACCGTAAACGGACACTGGACCGTAATCGCTTCAGTGAACATGTAAAGAGAAACTAACAAACTAATTTAAACAAACTAGACTAGGGTACCGGTCCGTTATCGCTATTCAAAGATGTATTCCTATTCTTATAGACGTATAAACCTTCATAACTATCTAGCAGACTTGGTTCTTAACTTCCTTAATAAGTGTAAGGTTGTCAAATTCTATTCTATGACCATCATCAAGAATATGTTGGGCAATACTCGATTTCTCTGTCCTACCAAATCTAGCATTGGCCAAGTGCTGGATTTTGTAGCACAGAGAAAACGAGCGGATGTTGAGCAACATTCGGTTTCTCTGTACTACCAAATCTAGCATGGGCCAAGTGCTAGATTTTGTAGCACAGAGAAAACGAGCGGATGTTGAGCAACATTCGGTTTCTCTGTGCTACCAAATCTAGCATGGGCCAAGTGCTAGATTTGATAGGACAGAGAAACCGAGTGTTGCCCAACACATACTTGATGATGGTCAAACAATAGGATTTGGCAACCTTAAACTTATGCCTACTAGATAGTTATAAAAGTTTATACATCTATAAGAATAGAAATAAATGTTTAATTATCGATAACAGACCGGTACCCAACTAGAGTTTGTTAGTTTCTCTTTACGTGTTCACTGAAGCGATGACGGTCCAGGGTTTAGTAAACTATAATAATTAGTATAAATTTGGTAGATTTAGCATTTAGATTTAGTTACACTTCGCTTCTGAAGATGCCAACATTGTTGGCGAAAAGTACTTTAAGTACTTTGTGTTTTGTTTCGGTAACATATCACAAAGGAACAAGATTTGAACTGACAAAAAGAATCTAAAGAAGTTTTGACTTACTACCCCTAACTCCAAAACAAAAAGAAAAAGAACTGATCTTTAAAAAAATATAAGTTCCATCTCCAACTTAAATAATCTAATAAAAATTTGACTTACGACCCCTAACATAAACGAACAAAAAGAACTTATCTTTAAATAAAGAATTA